ATAGGTCACCTAAGGTGAGGATAGTCTGCAGGTCACCTCAGATGGAAGTTCATAGGTCAAATCAGGTGGGACAGTCTAAACTAGCTCACTTTTGTCAGTTTGACACCCTAGAGTCTTCTGAGAGGAGAGAAGCTCAATTGCAAAAATGCCTCCATAAGGTGGTGTGTGGTGGCATTTTCCTGGTCAGTGATGGATGTAAGAGGGCCCAGTCATTACAAGTGCTGCTACCTTTTGGGCCAGCAGGCCTAGAGTGTATAAACAAACAACAAACAAACAAACAGACCAACTAAGTAAGCCAGAAAGAGTAAATCAGTAAGCACCATTTCTGCATGGCTACTAGGTTCCTGCCTTACCTGAGTACCTGTCTTGGTTTCCTTCCATGGACCCAGGACATGTAAGCCAGGCAAATCCTTTCCTACCCAAGTTGCTTTTGGCCATGGTCTAAGTCACAGCACTAGAAACCCTAAGAGATAATCCACAGGTCTCCTCAGGTGGGAGTTTTGGGTAGGAGTTTAAGGTCATCTCAGGAAGTCCAGGTCACCTCAGGTCTCTGTGTCATCTCAGGTGGAAGCCCAAGGCTAACCTCACATAGGAGTACCCAAGTCACTTCAGATAGGTATTCAAGTGTCATCTCATGAGAGGATTGATGTTCACTCAAATAAAAGTCATGGGTCACCTCAGAAGTCGTTGGATCACTTCAGGTCCGATTCCACAGGCCACCTCACAGAGTCTATGGGTCACCTCAGTAGCAGTTCCCAAATCACCTCAGGTGAAGCTATGGATCATCTCAGGTAGGAGTCCATGGGTTACTTTTGATGGAAGCCTTTGGATTTTCCCAAACAATAGTCCACAGGCTACCTCAGATAGGAGTTTCCAGGTTACCTCAGGTGGGAGACCATGGGTCATTTCACACAAGGTAGTTGAAGAGTGAGAAAATCAGGGGCATTGCAGGGTTTCAGGCACACCAGATACACTTGCTATTTTAGGGACTGGCTATCTTGAAGTCTCTTCAAGTGTGTGTGTGTGTGTGTGTGTGTGTGTGTGTGTGTGTGTGTGAACCAGACCTCCAGGAGCTGGGATTACGGCTGTGAGTCACAATGTAGGTGCAGGGAAGTGAGCCTGTGTTCTCTGCAGGAGCAGCTGGCACTCCTAACCATGGGCCATCTCCCAGCTCCTGCTTTATGCTCTATCATTACTGTGGACACCACTCTACTCATTCTAGTGATATCCTGTACTCTCTAGTCTCTATGCCCCACTGCTTTCCAGTCTGGTTTCCATGACTTCTTGGCTGCCATATTCTTAGATGTCCTTAGCATCTGTCTGTACATGAACAGTCACGCTTTCCATAAATCAAGTTCAAACTGTGCAAATATCTGATTGGTTCAGGAACTAGCATGCCATTATGTTGCCCCTAGGTCCTGGATGGGGGCATGCCAGCCTGCAGGGGGTCATCACCTTCTCAGAGAAGTGTGACTGTCTTCCAAGAAATCTGACTGCTTAAGAAATCCCTCAGAGGGTGCTGATGCGCAGTAGGTATTAAGACTTGAGAAGTGGGCAACCTGAGGGGAGATTCCTTGTTTCACTTCCTTATATTACATCCAACAGTTCCCAGGAGGCACCCCAGGGGTTATAAATAGCATGTTGCATTCCAGGCCTTTGTATTTTTTTCTTCCCCATTCAGCTATATTGGGAATGTACAGTGTGGTCACGACATGTAGCCTACTAGCCCTGTTCTTGAAGATTTTGAATGAAGATTAAAGGAAGAATATTTAACTGGCCAGACCATTTCTTGATGGACTCTGCCAGGGATAGTGTGATCTATGCTCTGTGAATTCTGGAAGCAAAACATAAATGAGGGTCCTGGGGAAAGGCCAGGGGCAAGGGGTGGTTTGATTTCTAGGTAATGACTGAACAGTGATTCCCATTAATTTGATCTAAGGAGTCAGCATTCTTGGGTGACCCTTGAGGGTGTGTGTGCAGGCTGAGGCGATCAGGTGCACAGCCTGTATTCCATGTGATGCAGGAAGACAAAGATGGAAGGGCCCAAGCTCCCTTTCGATCCCGCCTTCCTGAGGGAGGGGCTTCTAAGTAAGTCCCACCACCATGCTTTGAGACATTTGAGCACTGCGTTCTAAGGGTGTAGTCAGTCACTTTTCTTGAACTCAGTGTGTCGGTGAACGCAGGGCAATGGGACAGGGTGGGAAGGGGACTGTGCACTCATGCACACTGCCACACAGAAAGTTGATACAGCCCTCACCACACAGCTTCTTAAAGGTGGACTAAATTCAAGTGGTCTTCTGTCACGAAAGAGCATGGCTGAAGATATTCATATTCTTTTTAATTTTGGGCTGTTTAAAACTATTATTAATTGTGGTTAAGAAATCCAACCACAGGACCCACAATTTACCATCCTGTCCACTTCTGTTTTGTTTAATTTTACTTTTCTGAGGCAGGGTCTCATGTATACCAGGTTGGCCTCAGACTGACTATGAAGCCAAGGACGACCTCGAACTGTTGCTTTTTCTTCTTCTACCTTCCTAGTGTTGGGATCACCACCTTGATCACTTTATGTGATGCTAGGAAGCAGAGCACACAGCTTTGCACATGCTAAGTGAGCACTGTGATAGCTGAATTACATCTCTAACCACCATCCTCATGCACAAGGTGTGCAGTTCAGTGGCGTTGAATATGCCCTGTGTCGGACAATAGACTTCTACATCTTTTTCATCTGGAACCGAAGTCCTGACTGATTAAATGGCCCCCTTCTCCATATCCCACCTCCATCTTCCACCATTCCATTTACTGCCCGTAATGCTGTCCTCTTGGGACATCATATGAATGCAAAGGTACAGAATTTATTACTGGCTTATCTCACTCAGCAGTCTGTGCAATTCATTCATACTGCCACACAGAAAATTTGCTTTCATGGCCAAATAATATTTCAGGTACGTGTGTGTGTGTGTGTGTGTGTGTGTGTCCTGTATTTTCTTATCTGTTCATTTTTTAGTGACATTTGAATTTTGTCCACCTTTTAAATACTATGAGTAGTAATGGTATAAATATGATTGAATATGTGATTATATCTTTCAATTCCTGCTTTCAATTCTCTGGGCTATGCATCTAGAGGTAGACTGTATTTTGGGGGGGAGTTTCTTTGTTCTTTTCCATCACAGACCACCTGTTTTCCACACCCTAACTGCACACAAGGGCTTCAGTTCTGCACACCCTCAAACACCTATTACTTCTTGGGTTTGTTTTTGTTGTCTCTAGTTCAGGTGTCATACCTAAGGAATCATTGCCAAACCCAATCCCCATTTTTTTCAGAGAGTAAGTTTTAATTTTTTTTTGAGAAAGGGACTCACACCCATCTAGCCCAGGACGGCCTCAAACTCTATGTGATAAAGGATAACCTTGAGTTCCTGACTCTCCTATCTTTACTTCTGCTGGGATTGCAGGCATGCGACACTACATCCTAGTTTTATGTAGTTCAGGGAACAGAAATAAGGGCTTCACGAATGCTAGGCAAGCATTCTACCAACTGACCACATCCCGGCTCATATATAGATCTCTAAGCTTGTGTGTGTGTGTGTGTGTGTGTGTGTGTGTGTGTGTGTGTGTGTGATACGTGTGCAGTGCCTGTGGAGAAGAGTGTGTCAGTTCCGGGACTGGAGTTATTGGAGGTGATGCTGAGCTGCATCTCCACCGCTATAAAGGGCTCTACTTCATTTCTTACACATGGATATTCAACTTCCCCATGCACTGCAGTCTTTTTCCTTTGATTTCTTGACACCATACTTAGTAATCACTTACATATGAAAATTTATGTAGTGATATATTATTTATGATTTAATAAAGATTGCCGGAAGTATCAGAAAGCAAAGCCAGCCACACTAGTTAGCTGTAGAAGGTAGGTAGTGGTGGCACACACCTTTAATCCCAGGACTCAGGAGACAGGCAGATGGATCTCTCTGAGTTCAAGGACACTCTGGCCTACACAAGAATGAAGAGCAATAGAGCTCACGCCTTTAATCCCAGCACTAGGGAGGTGGAGACAGGAGTGATATGGCTGGATGGAGAAAGGAATATAAGGAGGAGGAGACAGGAACTCAGAGCCTTTTGCCTCTGAGGATACATGGAGACAGAATTGCCATTTCAACTTGGTAGAGGTAAAATCTACTGGCCTAGTTGCTTTTCTTCTCTGGTCTTTAGCTTGAAGTTTGAACCCCATTATCAGTCTCTGAGTTTTTATTTTTCATGTTACAGGTTTAGTTTCCTCGTGTTCTTTTTTTTTTTTTTGCTTAAGATTTTTCTTTTTATTTATTCTTCTCTCATACAATACATCCTGACTGCAACTTCTCCCTCCATCCCTCTCAATTCCCTCCCACCACCTCCCTTCTTCCCCCAGATTCCCTGCTTCTCTGTTTCCCTTCAGAAAAGAGCAGGCCTCCCAGTGAGATCAACTGAACACAGCATGCGAAGATGAATAAGCCCAGGCACAAACCTTCATATCAAGGCTGGATGAGGCAACCCAGTAGGAGGGAAAGGGACCCAAGAACAGGTAAATGAGTCAGAGACACCCCTACTCCCACTGTTAAGAGTCCTACAGAAACCCCAAGCTAAACAACCATAAGATACATGCAGAGTACCTGGCACAGACCCACGCAGGCTCCATGTTTGCCATTTCAGTCTCTGTGAGCCCCTGTGACCCCTGCTTAGTTGCTTCTGTGGGTTGTGTTCTTCTGATATCTTCAATCTCTGACTCCTATAATCCTTCCGACCCTTCTTCCTTGGGGTTCCCTGAGATTTGCGTAATGTCATGCTGTAGTTCTTCATGTTCTTAACCTGCTAACATTATTTGTTGGACTTCTCAGTGCAAAAGAACAAGACATTATTTTTTTAAGTTGTCCAGATGGGTTCAATGAATTCTTTTCTTCTTCAGTAGATTTATAATTTTACACAAGTATAAAAGACACATCAAGATGAACAGTACTGCTGAGTAATTCATATTCACATACAAATGTAATTTTATTTGACCAGGGTCAATGATGATGTGGGTTTCTGCAGATGGCAAGTGGTTAATCATTTGTCTTGTTCAATGAATTGTCTGAATTTCCTCTCAAATACCAAAAGAACAAAAATGAATTAAAAAATACTGAATTTACATTATGTTCCAGGTTATCTTACCCCACCCAGGCTTTCTGTAACCCAGAGAGGTGTGAACATGGTTTTCTGAGAGTACTAGGCTGATATTTGTGTGATTAAAAAGTCTGTACTTAGCCCAGAGAGTTTACTTGGCTCAGTGAGTACAGGCACTTATTGCGAAGTCTGAAGACCTAAGCTCTAGTCCTGTGTCCCACATGGTGGATGGAGAAAACCAAGTTCCACAAGTTGTCCTCTGACCAGTACATGCGCGCGCGGGCACACACACACACACACACACACACACACACACACACACACACACACACACAACTAATAAACATAATCAAGTATTTAAAAATGTATCCTTTACAAAATGTCTAAACAATAGCTTCCTTACCACTACTGCCCATCAGTGTTGGTAACCCCACGCGAGTTAGAGCTGGCTGACCAGGGTGGTGTAAAATCATCATGCTTCAACCAGGATACAAAGTATTCTTTTACACAAACGAAGTCAGAAATAGACATTCCAGCCATGGTGATACGTTTTCCCAGGGCCGGGAGCCCAACTCCATCTCCCTCACAGCTCACCATCTGCCTCCCAGCAGGCAAAGAAGACAGATGGAGATCAGTTCTCTAACTGAAGATGCCACAGCAGTTACAGTCCATCAGTCGGAGCTCAGGTCCTTGACTTCAGAGCAAAGTAGTCATAGCTGTGAGTCATTAGAAAAGATTCTCAGAACAGCAACAGGACACTGCACTAAATGATCTGCTCATTCAGATAATCAGCAGCTCTTCCAGACTATCTTCCCAATGCTTGCTAGCTTCTAACCACAGGGCCCACAGGGGAGTGGGGGGAGTCTTTTCTCTCCTAGCTGTGAACTTAGTCTTTCTTTCCCAGCTTACCATAATTAGAATGAATCATAAATCCAACTTGCCTGTAAAAGGAAACCTTGGGCAAGCAAGATAGCTCAGAGGGTAAAGGTGACCCAAGTTTAATAACTGGACGCTCCAAGGTGGAAGGAGATAATTGACTACTACAATTTGTTCCCTTGTATCCATATACTCTGGCATGAATGAACCCATACAAATACACATGCATTTAGACAGACGGATGTGCTTAAAAAATGGAAACTTTTAGTTTGTGGTATACCAGGAACAAGTGATAAATCATAGGCAGGTGTGGTGGAGCAGGGTTTTAATCTTAGCACTCAGCAGAGGCAGGTGGATGGATCTCTGTAAGTTCAAGGCCGTCTTGAATTCCAGGCCACACAGGGCTTTATAGTCAGACACCCATCCCCCCCCCACACTTCACTTTAGAAATTGATGCTGATAGCTTCTAGTTTCCCACTACAACATTTAAATGCATGGGAGGCTGGGAAGCAATTGTCACTCCCTTGTCCATAGCCTAGTACTAAAGAATAAAGGGAGGACAAATGTTGACCAATAGCCTCTCTCCTAACCCCAAATGGCTTGTGCTGTGTTGTATTATCTTTCTCGTCGCTGTGACAAAATCCCTCACAAAAGCAACTAGAGGAAGGGAGAGTTATTTTGGCTCACAGTGTTAGGTATTGTCCGTTGTGGTGGGAAGTCACGGATGCTGGAGGAGTGAAGGGCGGCTGGAGCATGGCTGCTGGAGTGTATGGCGGCTGCTCACACCCACAGCCAGGAAACAGGGAGATGAACACTGCTCAGCTCGTTTCCTCCTTTTTATCCAGCCCATGGGATGCTGCTGCCCACTGTTAGGATGGGTCTTTCTCAGGTAAACCAGTATAGACACTCCCTCACAGACCTGCCCACTGGTTCTTCTAGGTGACTCACTCACATTTGTTATAATCTAAATAAAAGAATAGCAATTAGAGGTTTCTTTTTAGTTCACGTGTCTGGGTGTTTTTGCTGCATATATGTCTGTGTACCACGTGCATACAGTCCCCAGTAGAGGCCAGAAGAAGACACTGGATCTTGGAAATGGAGTTATAAATTGTTGCGACCCACCATGTGGGTGCTGGGAATTGAATCTGGGTCCTCTGGAAGAGCACCCAGTGTTATTAACCACTGGGCTATCTCTCCAGCCCCAAGAAAGCTCTTGTGTGTGGGGGGGGGGTTGAGACATGGTCTCTGTATAGACATGACTGTCCTGGAACTCACTCAGTAGTTCAGACAGCCTGCAAATAAAAAACTCCACCTGCCTTTGCTTCCTGAGTGCTGGAACTAAAGGGGTGTTCCACCACTGCCAGGCCCAAAAACGTTTTCTTATGAGGCAGCTTTTGGCATATTTTCTATGACATGCCACAGGACTTCTCAGAATAACACATCTACTATGACTTGTGTATTTAAAGCCTGTTAATGATATCTCATCAGAAAATATTCCATCTCACACAATACCAGACACCACCTTCTCTGGCTGTGTCCTATTACATTACTGTGTTCATATGGCAAGGTGGAGAGGGTGGGTGGGTGGATGGTACCATCTCCCAACTCACAGTTCTGGGGAACTGAGGACTCCCTGGATATAGCTTGTGGCCTTTGTGCGATCCTGGAAAATTCCTCAGGTGCTGTAGGAAGACCAAAGACTTCTTTGGAGCATTACCCATTATTTCCTCCTCAAGAAGGTGTGTGGCTGAGGTCACATGGGATGATGGAGAGTGGCTGAGCACCTAGGGACCTGCAGGTCCAGAAACTAGAAGACCTGAAAAGAAAAAACAATTTCCCAAAATGCATTTGGCATCAGAATCCCATCTCCATGACCTTATCTGATAGCAAGTTTGTTTTGAGATGGACTGAGATCACTTATAATCTCAATCAACTTAGAGTGGCTATACACCTACTTTAGTGGAAAGAATATTAATGTGTTTGATTTCAAGGTATAGTCTCAGATCATATTGAGAGAATCCAAAAGAGTGAAAGACTAAAGGGTTTTGACCAAGAACCTGTGAATGGAGCTTCATTTCTTAATTCTAGCTATTGTGTCCATTGCAAGTCTGTGCTTGAGAAAAATGCTCACACATTATTTTAAAGGAAGTCACAGGGAAGGAGCCAACCAGAGAAGATCTGGAATGGGAGTTATGACCAGAAAGGCATAGGCCTGTATAATCTGGTGCTAGTATTCACCTGGCTTCAGAATGTGTTTTTGCTCAGTCTAAATGATACATGTGTGTTTGAAAAGGAAGTGTATTTCCTGAAATCCTGGATGTCTTGTCCCCAAGGACCAGGGGCTACCTCCAATGCATTCAGCTTTTGCCAAGGATCCAAGCCCTGCTTGTGTTAGACAGCTCTCCACTGCCGTCGCAAACACCTGAGGTGAATCAGATTTTTTAAAAAAGTAAATGGCTCCCTGAGACTTACAGTTCGGGGACATTGAGTTCAGTATGGGTTGTCTGGGTAACCATGAGCCTGGGTTTGCCTTTGCATCCTGGTGATCCTGAGTATCAGAGGAAGCCGCTCACTTCAGGGTAACCCAGAAGTAGATGGAAAGGAGAAGACTTGGGTCGCAGATCAAACAACCCACCTTCCTCCCACCTCCTAACGCTTCCACAACCTCCCAGTAGCGTCAAACCTGGGGGTGTGAGGATGGAGCCACAAACCTTCACTGTGGGGACTTGCAGGGAACACCTATTTAATCCGTGGCCCCTAGCATTGGCTCCTGGCAGAGTGAGCTCAGATGGAACAGGTGGACTCCGTGGCCTTGCAGTTCTTAAGGAGCAGTGCCTGTTTCCTGGTGCAGTTACTGTCCACAAAGATGAAGAGAGCAAAAACTGTTAAAACACTCTCTGGGCTAGCCGAGTGACGTCCAGCCTTGTGTGCCACCAGCCAATGTTCCAGGAAGTTCATAAAATGGTGTGGTAACTGTATCAAAGGCAACATCATACATTTTCAAAAATCAATAGAATTTGTGTACCCACCCTATAAGCACAATGGCTTTTTAGAGATTTAGCCATGTGTAGAATCTTGTATATTTTTATGAACCTGACAGAAGTTATTTGACCAAAGCAAAATCATACCTCTTCACACCCTATTAAGTTACCACAGGAGAATAGCTATGAGATTAAATTAGACATACAATACTATCACCTGAATTCACTAATCTCAGACTTCAGTAACTGTCCCCGAGAGCTATCTCAGCAAATAAATAGTGACAGACCAAGTTAGCATGAGGTTTGCTAATTTTTTGGTAATAATTATCTTAATTTATTATTTAGAACAGTGATTTCAAAAGCCAGGGGGGCTGGAGATAGCTCAGTGAGGCATTGCCTAGCAAACACAAGAGCCCGAATTTGGTTCCCAAGGCTCATGTGTGTGCTTGTCATCTCAGTGCTGGGGAGACATAGATAGGCAGATTCCCAGAGCTTACTGGCCAGCCTAGCCTAACCTAACCTGGGATTCCCAGGTCTTATGAGAGACCATGTCTCAAAAAATAATGTAGCTGGCTTCTGAGGAATGATATCCAAGGTTGACATATGACTTCCACATGTACATGTACACATAAATGTGAATGTACACATGCCCTTGTGCACGCGCGCACGCACACGCGCACACACACGCACACACACACACACACACACACACACACACACACCAAGAAAAAATGTGAGTCTTAATGGTTTGTTCAGAGATAGCCTGGGTTTTTGAAAAGGTGTCTGTTCCCCAATAGACATTTCCTGGGCCTGCACCATGTACCCAGCACTACATGTTGGGAATTTACACTGGAGTGAGATATTTACTATCTTGCTCCCTGAGGTGGATAGATTTGAGTACACAGAATGAAGAAAATCCAAAGGACAGAAATTCTTTGGGACTGAATGCCACAGCCTCATGGAGTGTGTTATCATTTTCTTTTGGAGTCTAGCTTCTGTATTGTACTTCTTTTTTTTTTTTTAATTAATTCCTAGCAAGGTCAGGCTTGCAGAATTAAGCTGTCATGATTAACTGAGAGGGGATACTGTATGGGGCATAACAGAGCCTTCATTAAGTGAAGCACTAGTCTGGAACCCACAAAACTTTCTTTTTTAACCAATGGGTTGGCCTCACCTCTGAGTGGGTTTTCTGCGCTTCTCCCCAGAGGAGAGGGCCAAGCCCCATCTTCATTCACACAGGCATGGGGGTGGTGTGGTATGTGATGGTTCAAGTCTTTCCCATATGCTCAATGCTGGGTTACCATGGTTACTGTACCTTGTTACTGCCTTCCTGTTATTTTGGTTTTCTAGCTATAAGTTGTTTCTGTTTAGTTTTAATGTTAGAAAGAAACCTAAGACAAGTACAGCACACCATTAGCATCCCAAAAACCATATGAAAGCTAAGGACTATCACTATCTGTATGTCCATCCTTCCAACCCTACAGTTACTTTTCCAACTGTAGACTTAAGGACATGGAAGCAGGTATGAACCCAGGAAAGAATACTGTTTTTCAGTATTTAAGCAAGAAAAATATAAAAACAAACCCCATAATACTTTTCTATCTCACCTCTGCTCCTGGTTGCTTTAAAATTCCAGAATCTGGGTAAGCTGGGAACATAGTATGGGGAGAAGGGATGTTATCATAGAAGGGAACAAATGGTTGGCCACCATCTTGTTAGAGAGCTGCAGGAATGCAATGGCCCTCAATGTCAAGCTGCACCTTGGAAACAACATAGCACACATTTTAGATTACAATCAGAGAAAGCCAGGATGAAGAGGAGAAGCAGGTGAGGGGAGAGGGTCAAGGGGAGAGAGGGTAAAGGAAAGACTACTGTTATGTTTCTGGAGATAGAATTTCACATGATTCGACTAAGTATTGCAAAATGCCGACACACGAAAAGGCCCACAAGCTGAAGATGGATGGATGGCCCATGATGCACTGTCTGTTGCTCCTACGTTTTCTTACAAACTTTCTGTTCTTAGGGTGCTCAGGTCTTGCTAGCCTCCCACATAAAAGTGCCAAGTTCATTGTCAAGGATGCCTTCTCAGGAAGATGTGTGCTATTTGAAAACTCTGGATGGTGAACTCATAAGTTTTGACCAAGACCCATCCACACTTATTTTGTTTTAGCTTGTGGTGTTGTCCTCCGCAGACAGCAAGCACTGCAGCTTATTGCTTCAAATGCAGCCACTTTGGGGCATTCTCTTTATCTGTCTTCTTAAATGGTCCTCTGGGTTCATAAGGTTCTCAGGGAAGGTCAAACACAGTTCTCAGTGATCTTGAGAGATGACAAAGCAATGGCAAGAGAGACTGTTCTTACCAAGTCCTTACATTTCCTTCCCTAACCTAATGCCAAGTGCCTGGTGACTGTCTGGGAAGCATGCTTCCTGCAGCCCTGTCAGTATGCTGCAATCCAGAGGGCAGGCTCAGGCTGCGCACATCCACCCAGGGTGCCCTTGACAGGGCATTTCCCAAGTTCTTCGCTCATTCGGCTGTGGAAATTGGATAACAGTGCCTGGCCTACTTACGCTGTTATCGTAACGGCATCAGAGGAATTTGCCTGATGAATTTTTTCTTTGTAAATGATCTACAGATTTCAAAGCACAAAATAAAAATGGGTTTAGTAAAGGAAGCTGGCAGTGAAAATGTCTGCAAAACTTCAAGCTCTGGCTTGATGTTTATGGCTCATCTAGAATCAAGGTTTCCATCTCCTTCCTGACCCCATCAGGCAATACTGACAGCGTGACCAACACTTGTATCTGGTTCACTGTGGTGGTGGTGATGGTGGTGGCGGTGGCAGTGGTATGTGTCTGTATGTGTGCACCAGGAATTGGGGTTTGGTGTAATCTGTGACTAGAATAAAGAAGCAGGTGGCACCCTCCACTGGGGACTCATCTTCTCCAGCCCCGAGGAGTTCTACTCTTGGCACACAGCTTCTTTTTCTACCCTGGTCCCTGTCTTCTACGTTGAATGTCAATTCTCACAGCACAGCCTCTTCTCCACCAGGGCAGAGGCTAGACCCCAGAACTCACCATCCCTCTTGAGTAATGTTCTCAATCTGAAATGTTCCCCACCTGCTTGTGTGTTCATAATTTGTCTCCAGGAGTGGAAAGTTGGTGAAAAGCAGACTCACAAGGAGGCCAGCTACTTGGGGACAGTGCAGGCTTTTATCCTGTTATGAGAGACCTGAAGAGGGGTGCCTGGTGTGAGGGTCAGAGCCAGCCATCTGCTTACGGGCTGTAGTGGTTATAGGGAAGAATGAAAGCAGGAAGAGGTTTGAGACGTTTCCCTTTTTTTCCCTAGAGCTGGTTGTTGCTGGGGGGTAACCAGAGAGTTACAGAATATCAGGGGATCGAAAGTATCTCTGGTGGCCAGGCCACTTTTACCAGGGTGTATGAGGAGAGAGAAGAATCTACAAAAGAAGCTACTTGAGTTCCGGAACTCACTGTTTAGGGAATTATCATTGTTTAACCAAGATGGAGCCTAGCAGTGGTAGCACGCGCCTTTAATTCCAGCGCTCAGGAGGCAGAGGCAGGCAGATCTCTGTGAGTTAGAGGCCAGCCTGGTCTACAAATAGAGTTCCAGGGCAGGCTCCAAAGATACACAGAGAAGCCCTGTCTTGAAAAACAAACAAAAAAGATGGAGAAAAAAAAAGAACAAAATGGTGTGGTCATAGATAGCAAGAAGCTGTTGTTACTTGGAAAGTTCTAGAAACTTTAGGAGGTAGGGCTTAATTAGAGAATGTACTCACAGGGGGGCTGGGGTGCCTTTGAAGGTTACACCTGGTTTCCAGTCCCTTCCTCTCTCTGTTTCCCATCTACTATGTTGCAACCAATCTCTGCCATATGTTCCCAGCACCAAGACATTCTGCTTCAGCAGGGGCCCAGAATCAGTGGAGGAAAGGACTATGGGTGGAAACTTCTCCAACACTAAATCAAGTAACTATTTCTTCCTTTAAGCTGATTGTGCCATGTATTTGATCATAGCAACAGAAAAGTAACTAATGTATCCTGTGACTACAACTTCCCTTCCTTTCACCTCACACTCAGCAGCAACTCTCTGGAAGAATCACCTTTAGTCAATTCTTCCATTTTCTTTTGATTCATCAGCTCTTCAGTGTCCTGGTTTCTGTTTCTATGTGATGGATACTGTATTTTATGTCTACATTCCTTTTCTAGTCTTTTCTTTGTTTTCAGTGCTGAGGACTGAACCCAGGGTGTGCTGGGGAAGTTCTCTTCTACTGGAACTTAGTCCCCGGCCTTCTTTTCTCATGAGAGCTCTTTAGCCAAGAAGAAGAGACCAAGAGACAAATCTCACCCAGGAGGGCAAGATGCACAGCACTACAGGAATGGCCTTCCATGGATAGTGAGAGTTAGAGGTCAGAAGTGGCAGTCACTTGAAAAACTTCCTGGGGGAGGCAGGTATTGGATCAAAGGTGAGCAGAGACAGAAGTGTTGATTCCAGGCAGAGATGTCCCCAAAAGAAAGGGGACAATGGGCATATGTAACCCTTTTGAAGACAGAGAAAGACTTTGCAAGTGGCCAAAGGAGACAACAGAGTAGGTCTCCATAAGGACTTTTCATTACCTTAGTGTTAGTTATCCCTCTCCAGTCCATCCCTCTGCCTCATTCTCCCCTTCTGCTTCCCAGTTAGCCCCACATTCTCCTTGCCACCTTTATACCACCTGTAATCTGCTGTCCCCTCTCCCTTAGGGTCTTCCAGAAACTTCTGAAAGTCCCTTTTTAGTTTGCTGCCTTCTATAAACACCCCAAGTTAAATGCATCCCAAGCTAAACACACCCACCCACACACCTACAGTTTTAAAGCTAGGACCCACGTGAAAGAGGGCAGACAACGTTTGTCTTTTGGGGCGTTGTTTGCCTCATTTACTGTAATGTTTTTCCAGTTCCATTCATTTACCTTCAAATGTCATCATTTCACTTTACTTCACAGCTGTACAAAACTCCATTGTGCATATGAACTGCATTTTCATTATCCATTAGTCAGGCGATGGGCATCTCCACAGATCCCATTCCCTGGCTACTATGAATACAGCAGCAATGAACACAGATGAGTAAGTATCTCTCTAGTAGGGTATAGGGACTCATTTATTTTTTAAATGCAGGGAATATTGCCCGTTTTCTGGAACAGAAATCCTTTTTCCACTTTTAAGATCTAATTTGCGTGCAGTGGCATTATGTTAAGGGTACAAATGACATCTTGGTAAACAATTACACACGTGTGCCCACCACTCCAACTGAAATATAAAGTACTGTCTTCTCCCCCAGGAAGTTCCCCAGGCATTATCAGCTATGATGTAATGTCACAATTGTTTGTTTCATAGCCTCCAGAGTGTTTCCAAATTAATTTCAAGTGTCTCCATAGTTTCAAAACCTAAAGCCTTTCCTTACTCTCTTGTTAATATTTATTTTAATCATGCCAGTGGGTGTGGGCGGTATCTTCATGTGGTTTATGCTACCCATCTTCCACTGTCCCCACTGGCCTTGTTTGAAGTATTTATTTAAGCCACTTGCCCAGTTTTCACTGGATGATTTGACTTCTGATTTTGAATCATAGTTGTTGTTTATCTGTGCTGGATTCCACATTAAATCATTTTTTCCCCAGGGATGATGACATATGCCCAGGATTTAGCACTGGAGAGGTGGAGGCAGAAGGATCCTGAGTTCAAGGCCAGCCTGAGCTATACAGAAAAGGTTAGATTTGCTCCATTAAGCACTTACACTTAACGGCAGACATTGTGTAACTCCTCTGCAACTCCTCCCCTCTTCTTAGTCCTATCTTTCTAATTTGCATTTCTTGCTTCCCAGTGAAATAATCGGAGTTGTTTCCAGACATATCACAAGCTTCTCATCACAGTGTGGCTAGTTTTCTCTTACGCTGTTGAATTTCTCTCTAAGAAAATTACCAGGGAAAGAAGATACATTCTCCCACACTGGCCAACTTAACAACATTTCTCTCTCTCTCTCTCTCTCTCTCTCTCTCTCTCTCTCTCTCTCTCTCTCTCTCTCTCTCTCTCTCTCTCTCTCTCTCTCCCTCTCTCTCCCCGCCCCCCTCTCTCTCTCTCCCTCTGTGTGTGTGTGTGTGTGTACTTGGATTACCTCTGTTGATTTCAGCACCAGGTGACAATGCTCTTCAGTCTGAAGGATATCATTTAGCTCTCCTTTGATAGCCAAATCTTTCAACTTCATTGATCTAAAACATCTCTAAAAGGAGGGATGGTTCAGTGCGTAAAGGTGCTTGTGGCCAAGCCTGGTGACCTGAGTTGAATCTCCAAAACCCATGTGGTGGAGGGATAAAACCAGATTTGCCAGAACTGCCCTCTGTCATCCTCATGTGCACACCGTGTGCCGCTCTCCAATCTCTGACTCCTCTCTTCAGTGGGGCTGTAATCACTTCGCTGTCTCCAGTCTCCAAGGGTCACAATCCTGGGCTGTTGATGGCCACTGCTTGAGAACAGGATTAATGATAAGGGATGAGCAAGAAACGGGGATTGAAAATGGAAATGAGCCCTAGAAACATTTCCTCCCTGAAGTTGTTTCTCTTGTGCATGTGTCACAGGGATGACAATGAGTAACCAATGAGTAACTCTCTCTGTCTCTGTCTCTGTCTCTGTCTCTCTCTCTCTCTGTCTCTCTCTCTCTGTGTGTGTGTGTGTGTGTGTGTGTGTGTGTGTGTGTGTGTGTGTGTACATGTGGGGGACAAACAGGTCAACCTTTATTAGGCACCCATCACCTTGTTTTTCGAGGCAGGGTCTCTCACCAGACTGGAACTCACTAAGTAGGTTAGACTGGCTGGCCAGTGACTGCCTGTTTCCACCTCCCCAGCACTGGGATGACAAGCATATACTGCTCATCTAAAAGAACGCTTCTAATGATGACCTTTAAAGCCCAACCCAGAAGCATCTTGTTCTGGTTGTTAGAGTGTAACAAGTTAACACAAGTCTCGGTGACTTAAAACAAGAACCTCTCAGGCAAATTTATCTGGTCCAGAGGACACTTTGGGGCAACCAACTTTGGTGATTTTCTCCATCTATCTCGTCCCACTAGACCAGTTTTTCTCTGCCTACTGGGTCCCACAGCCACTTAAGAAATAACCACTTAGAGACTTAATATATATTTCAAATTGTTTGGTATTTAGCTTAAGCTTCTTACTGGCTAGCTCTCCCTTAAATATCAACCCACTTCTATTAATCTATGTATTTCCCTGTGGCCTTTGCTTATTGGTAATGTCCAGAAATCCTGCCTCCCAGGTGGCTACATGGCAACTCCCCTTTCTTTTCCTTTCCCTGTCTCTTTGTTCAGAATTCCCACCTAGCTAAATTCTGCCTATCCATCGGCCAAGAAGGTTTTATTCATCAACCTAAAAAAGAAACATTTATTTGCAGCATACAAAAGGACCTCTCTCATCATCTTCCCTTTTCTGTCTAAATAAAAAGGTTTTAATTTTAACATAGTAAAATTATATAAAAGTAAACAGTTATCAAGCAAGAATTATATTTAGTCCATTTATATTTGTCAAAATTTAAAGAAAATATTTTATCATCTATCATAAATTTTATATGTAATTTATCTTTTATCATAACTAAGGAAAACCACAACCATAACTGTCTTCAACTTCATCAAAGACCTGAGAAGGAAAATAATATTACCTGAGTAATCAGGAAGTGCAAGTGGGCAACTTCCCAAAGATGCAAAAAATGACAGAAACAGCTGGCTACCCGGCCAACCAGTCAGATTCTCACAGATATGTTGAGGCAACCAACTTTAGCTAAAGTCTAGAATATCTGACAGACCATTGTCAGAAGCAGGAAGATTTGAAAGGCTGTCCTACTCTGTCTTGGCAAGGTTCAGCAGTCTCTTTTTGCTTGTATTTTGCTTGACCAGTTCTGACAGTGTGTACACTGTCAGCAGTAGAAGCAAGGACAGGCCTCTGCTCAATAGGCCTGTTTGCCAAGAAGACAAACTCCAAATGGAGTATTTCCAGTGCCCATCATATTCTCTGAAATAGCTTGATGCTGCCAGGAGCAATTGTGTCTCATTGTGGTGAAAAGCCCCAAGTTAACAAACCATCTTAAATGTCATATTCTATAGATCTTTGAAAGGTTTTGAGAATGCCTATCCATCTAAAATATATCTTTATATATCTAGAGAAACTAACTACCATAACAAAGCTAGTTGACCAGAAAGCCCCAGGGACCCTGATGCTTCAGTGCTGAAGTTACAAGTGCTTTCTGTGACACTAGACTTTTATGTGGGTCATGGGGCTCTAACCTCAAGTCTGGGTACCCAGGTGCCTCATCAGCTAAGCTTTCTTCCCTGCTTCCATTCCCTATTCAGGAACCTTTAGAATGTCCCTTATTCTTGACTCCATGTGCTTATAATGACATGTAAAACCCATAGCTCCTTCTCTAGCACCACATCTGCCTGCCTGACACCATGCTTCCATCATGATGATAGTGGACTAAACCTCTCAACTGTAAGCCAGCCCCAGTTAAATGGTCTCCTTAAGAGTTGCTGTGGTCATGGTGTCTCTTCA